TGAGTGGCCAGTCTCAGTGGTTTAGTTTCATTGCTTTCAATAGGCAGCTTCTATTGTTTCTTTTGGGCTGGGTTTGCTAAGTACAATTAGAGAGCCAACCTTCCTCAATCTCTCTTAATGCCCACATTTTCTTTTTAGCAGGGGAAGTGGGGAGGAGGGTAGCCTGCCAAGCCAGGCAGAAACTGGAAGCTGTTAGAACAGTAAAATGGTCATAGAATCTTCAGGTATTTGCTTGAGTCCCGGAATGTTATACTCCAAGCAAGGTCCATGCCAGGGTCAGGTCACCGGGCTTGCCCCCATCACACCTGACACTTTAGAAAACAAGAAATCCCAGTCCCTGCGAGGGAAAGTGAGTTGTTTCATGTCCCAGGACTGGAATGTAGATATTCCAGAGTTCAACCCAGTTCTCTGCCCGTTGTGTCTCTCGCTTGGCTGGAGACTGAATTCAGGCTAGGGTGGGGGATGCCAAGAAGGGGTTGTTGGGACCCATTTGTGGTCGGGCGCTTTCCTCAGGGCCTCCACGTCCCTTCGGACATTAGGGGCCACATGGCCTTCACAGGAAACACAAACCTCTTCTAACTGGCAAGCTGGGGAAGGAGGAAATCGTCTCGGGTTTCGTGACTATTTAGCTGCAAAGCTAGGGCTTCACTTCAGCCTCTGTATCACCTGTCATGGGATGTTGATGCCCCCCACCACCTAGCTCTCATGAAGACCCACATGTGTGGTCACTCTCATGGCCCTCTCTGCCCCCAGACAGAGCTCAGTAGCACAGAGCACGCTTCAGTGACGAGAAAACAGCGCCCAGAGCAGGTGCTGAGGAAGCCACAGAGTGTTGGAGCGATTCCTAGCCTTGGAGAAGTGGTGAGAGCACTGGAAAGAGGCACAGTTGTGTTTGACTAAACATCTGACCATACAGTCCTGGTTAAGCAAAGAGGTTCCAAGGCGAGTCAGCCTGAATTTTCAGGTCTTGCCTCACTCCTTGTTAGCTGTGCAGCCTTAGGCAAGCCAGCAAACCTCTCTGTGCTCCCGTTTCCGTACCCATAAGGTAGAGATGATAATTATCCTCGGGGCTTGTGAGGACTCCGCGAGTGAATCACAAAGCACTCAGCCCGGTGCGTGGCACACAGCGCAGGCCCCACCCATGTTCACAATTTTCACTCTGCCAGATCCTCATTCATATGTAGTAAGGAAATAAAAGAAAAACTGATTGAAAACTTGTCTACGGAATTCCTCTAGTTCAGGAAAGAGCTGTCATTTGGTTGTTGGGAATGTTGGGATGGCCTGGGAGAAGACCAAGGTGACCACAATCTTTCTGCAAAATAAAGTCTGTGGAATTGAATTTCTGCAGAGTTTGTGAGGGGAGGGGCTGTGTGTGGAGGAGAAGAACATAAAAATTGGTAGGAAGGACAGTGGGCCAGAAAGCTCGGTGGTGGTCTGAACCCCATGGAGGAATGCTATCTGTCAAGAAATTCTGTGGCTGGAGTGGCAAAAGCCTTATGAGATCAGAGAGGGGTGTAGTAGTCAGTGGGCATTGTCCTCTGTGATGGAATGCACTGACCCCTCAGCGTCTCTCAACGCCCTAAGTCCTGCTGCAAACTTCATTATCCACAAAGGCGGGGTGCTGGGGGAACTCAGGAGAAATCCAGGCCAAAGTGTCTGTAATCCGTGGTTTGCACAAATAAGCCACATAACATGAGCTCATGTGAGATTCAAAATGTGGTGCAAACAGAAAATTGGAACAAGAAGTGAGGAGAGGCAGCACGAGTCTTGCTCTTTCTGCAGCCCTCCTGAGTTCCTCAGCGCATGTGAGATGGGAGGGGGCCGTTTCACTTGGAGACGAAAGAATGGGGTGGACCCTGACGAAGGCCGTAGGCTCAGCCAGGAGGCAGACAAGGGTCTGCCTCTACACTCCAATTGCTTTAGGCAGGGGGGCTTTTTAACTCCATTTTCTAGATGAGAGAAGAAGGGTGTGCAGAAAGGTTCTTCTCTCGGTGCTCTTCCCGGTCCACAGTTTCTGCCCAACCTCCAGAGTGGCCCACTGAGTCCCAAGCACAATGGAGTGGGTGGGGGTGGCAGTGTGCTGGTGACCATTCTCCTGGCCAGGAATAGGACACCTGTGTTAGGACTTGGAAATCCTCTCACTACCAGAAGGGCTCGGTTTTCTTTGGTTTCTCTGCAGCTAATTGTCACCCTGTGCTAAGTTACTTGAGTGTTCCCCACTGGCCCTGCTTCCTGGGGCCTGGGGAGGGGGGGTGGGGGCTGGCGGGGCAGAGGGCTCCCTGGAAAGTGTCTGGCTTCTGCCCTGGTCCACTCCAGTGACAAGCCACAGGCCACCCCTGGAGCTTCCTCCTAGGAGTTTCCGGGAGATGGTTCCCCCCTGCCCAGAATATTTTACAATGATTTTTCAAAGGGAAAATGTGCTGCGCATGTCTGTTTAAGAGGGAACTTGTTGGGAGAGGAAGCCAGGGCTGCAGATTTCCTCAAGGTTATTGTTAGGCTTTTTTCTTTCTTCCTATATTTACATATTAAACAAGAGAATTAGAGTATCGTAAAGAGTCGAAGCTGGAGGAACTTTCCAGTTCATTTAGTACATTGCCATTATGTGACAGAATTGCCTAGAGAAACAGCCTGCTGCGGTGCAGGTCGGCTCTGGAGCCCGTTCTTACGCCACCATCATATTCTTTCCATCTCCCCCTCCTACGGGGTCGGCAGTTTGCCACATTAAGAGAAGCAGTGTGGACTTGCATTACAAGCAGCAGAAAGCCTGGACCACACACAAAAGGTCACCGCCATTTATGGCCAAAGCACATCATGCAGAAGAATAGAGAGGGGCCCTGGGCTCTGGTCCCTGCTCTGCCTCCAGCTCCTTGGAGGACCTCAGACAAGCTGCCTTGATTACATGCACCTCAACTCCTCCTCTGCAAAATGGGCACACTAATCCTCATTGCTGCCAAAACTGAGGCTAAGAGCAACCCAAGGGACGTACAGAAAGGTCTTTAACAAACATTTCTTAGCCTTAATGGGGATTATTATTAGCATTTTGTTTTAATCTGGTTGCAGAAACATTGAATTGTAAATTGAGGTTGGTTTTTGATTAGTTTCTGTTCTGATATTCACAGTGATGGCCAAGAAAAAGATCTGATAAGTGATCTAGTCCGTGGCACCCATAGTTTTGGATTTCATGGACCAAAGAAATTTGCCGCAAATTGAAAATTCAGTGACTGGTACAGTGGACGTTTTAGCACTTTAGGAAAGGACATACTCTCAGAGGAAAGGAGTCCCCCTACATTAAAAATAGTTGGCTATGGGCAAAAGGGACTACCTTGTCCTTTTTCTGTTTCCACTCATGACTGGTGAAAACCATTGTAGGGGCAGAACCACTAGGTAGTGCCCCTGTGCTTGGCAACCAACAAGGGAAATGCTCTCCAGCTGCAGAGCTGAGATCCAGAGGGGCTGAGGTCACAAGCCTAATCAGAACTGTCCTTGTCATTGAGATCACATTCCTGTTCAAGAGTGCCTCCCCTCCTCTAAAGCTGAAAAACGCTGGTCTTACTTAGAAAATCCAGGTGGATGTGGTTGTGGAATGGTGGGAGTGGGGAAGGGGACCTGACATTTGCTCAGTGCCCTTGGCTTCTTGCAACGCTCCATGTTCTGTTGCCAAAGCCTGTGCCGTTTCCATCACAGAGGTAGGCAAACTCTGGTCTGTGGGCCAAAGCCAGCCCACTACCTCATCCTATAAATGAAATTTTATGGGCCCTTAGCTGTCCCTGCTCAAGGGCATGGAGTCCACGGCTGCTTCTGCACGGTAATGGCAGAGCCAACAAGTTGCAACAGAGACCCCATGGTCTGCAAAGCCCAACATTTTTACTATCTGGTCCTTTACAGAAAACGTTTGCTTACCTCTGCATTATGCCATGCTCCATGTTACATGAATGGGACAGTCTACAGAGGTGTTATGGGAATTGAGGTCGCACGCTAAGTAATTCCAGCCAAATTTTAAGAGATGGTTGACAGAGCTGTAATGATTAGTCACACCTGAAAGATCCAGAATGCTTGTCTGTCTGGGGCCTTTTGCCCCTACTTTCTAAGTTGCTGGGTGACAGATAGCAGAAGAGGCATGGCTAAGGGTATCCCAAAGGCAACTCCAAGCGTGATGCTCTTGGTGTGAGGGGCTGTGTCCAGAGACTTAAGTCCTCTGTTCCCAAGGATACCCTGGTGTCTCTACCTAGATGCCTATGATGACCCACCCTTCCTCGCTAGCTCTCTCTCTCTCTTTTTTTTCTTGAAGTTGTCTGGTTATCCAGCTGTGCTTGCTATCTAGGTTCTAAAGGTTGTAGGACTGAGATGAGTTAATGTACATGGGATTAGAGATGAGGACATCAGGCTTCTAGGTTGGGCTCCATATGACCTTGGACACAACACTTTACTGGGCTTTACTTCTACCCTGTGCAATGAAAACATTAATCAGATGATCTCAAAGTTTTTCATCTTCAATGTTAGCCTAACTCTGCACATCAGCCTTCTGGGGCTAGTAGAGGCAATGCATTCATTAGTGACTTTTCAATGATAGGAAATATGTGGTGGGGAGGGGAAGAGGAGAAGGTTTGAGGTAGGAATTATTATTCCCATTTTGTAGATAAGGAACTGAGGCTCCCAGGTGAGACGTAGAGCCAGGATTCTTACCCATGTTTCCCTGACTCCCGATTGCAAGCTGTTAACACTGCTTTGCGTCCCTATCCGTGTCCATGCGACGGCCTATGCCAGAGGTAGAATTTTCATCAGTGGGAGAGTCGAGGGCTGGTGGGAGACTAGTGGGGATGAGCGTACAGATCAGAGACACTCAGATGAATCAAGATGCATCAGCTCTGCCCTGAGCAGCCCCTACCTCCACCTTTACCCACTTTTCTGTTGGGCACTGTCATGATGTTTCTGGTTATCGGTCAACTCTGATGTGACATGCATGATTCACTACACATTTACTCCTGATTTCAAGGTCTTACCTCCTTTAAGGGAAAATTGGCCCGTTGGGGTGGAAATGGAGTCCTAGAAGGGAAGAAAGAAAAAAAAAACACAAAACACCAGTGTGAGAAGGATGACATTCAATTGAAACAACTCATCTTTTTCTTTTTCATTTTGGTTGTCCTCAGAGTGCTGTGTAATTTAGAACTTACATTCCATCTGACTCTTAAATTTTTAAAGTTCAATTCACTGACTTAGTTATAATGAGCTTGCCCTTCCATTTGCTTGACAACCTGACTATCAGAAAATAATTTGAAGATTACTATCCACATTTCACAGGTGAAGAACCCGGGGCTGTGAGAGGTAAAATGAAACGTTTGTGGCAGCTCGCAGACCAGAACCGGCAGCTCAACTCCCAGTCCAGTGCTTTTTTTTTTTTTCCCTTCACCTCCACATACGTTATTTTTACCCCCTTCGGTCAACATAAGAACAATCAAATGCAGTATATAAATATATGTGGGTTTTTTTTCCATCTTTGATTCATCATACAGTAAAAGTAGGTTGTAAACATACCTGGGAAGGTACATTTCTATTTCTCCTGTGGTTGGAAATTCTGAATTAATTGAGTATTTATATGCCAAGCATTGTGAGGACACCATAAATAATTAAACTGAGTCCCTGTCCTCTGGATTTGTTACAAGTTTAAATTTGAATATAATACCCGAATATTTATAAACATATTACCTAAACAAACACACATGTCTATTATACATTCACTTTATATTTTATATTCTTTATTCTATAATAAACATAAATATATACATACATATTCGCACAGATAAGTAAGAGGTTGATAGAAACAGATTGTCTTCTGAAGGGGGGTCTCCGGGACTGGGCAACTGGAAGGGACAAAAGGGAGGCCTTTTTGGGGTGCCCTGAGCAAGTAGGCAACAGGAGCAGATGGGCGCGTTTTCTCCCACTAACGAGGTCTTCAGAGACTAACTTTTCACACCCAGTCTCCCTCCCTCTACTCCCCACCTCAGCCATTATGACACTCCTCAGGTGTCCTGCCAGGAAGAAATGACGTATCTTATTCATCTTTTGACCTGTGCAGGTTGAAAATCTCCTGTAGTGCATTGATTCGGAATATTAATAAAGACCTAGAGAGGTGTGAGCATTCACATGGTGACACCACCTTGCCAGCCTCTGCCCATATCTTATTTTCTTAATGTTTGGTCCAAACCCTGAGGACCATCTGGAGTTCCCCCTTCCTTCTGCCATTTCCCAAGGGGGTCTGTGCTTTGCTTTCCACTAATGCAGCGGTTCTCAACCTTTCACAGGGGTCACCTAAGAATATCGGAAAACACATATTTTCGATGGTCTTAGGAACCGAGACACTGCTCCTCTATCCGTCTCCAGGCCCACATGCAGATACGCCCACATACGAGTACCCGGCGACCCCTGTGAAAGGGTCGTTCGACCCCCAAAGGGGTCGCGACCCACAGGTTGAGAACCGCTGCACTAATGGCTCCTTTTTTCTGGTAAGTGGATCTCTTCCCCAGCCCCAGTGGGTGGTGATGAGTCCGGGATGACTCCTGAAGGTAAAGCCCTGGCATCACACTGATGGAGATGGCAGACGTCAGTATAAACTTTTGGGCTTCAGCTTTTCAGGGGAAAGAAAGTGAACTTGGCTTCATAGGTCCTGCCCTCTTTGGTCTAATATTCTATGATATAACTGCTTTAGTCAACAGCTCTTTACCTAAGAACAATGCTGCACATTTGTGGTCTCTCACTTACGCATGCAGTTCGTAGGAAAGCCTGACATCACAAACTTCCCCTCTGTGTTGCCTCTCTGAGACAGCACACAGCATTTCAAAATTTGATCTACTGCTAAGCATGACCATCGGTGAGAGTGTTGTTCAAATGCACAAAGAAAAACATCTATGTTTAGATGTGGTGCTAAGATTGTTGCATTCGTCGGCTGCCCAGGAAAGTATCCAGGTACAGTGAGAGAACGCTAGAACAGCAAAATCAGTGGAGCCACCCCAGGGGCAGCCAGCAGTTGGGGAAACACCAGAGACTCATGTATTCAGCACATATTGCATGAGCACCTGGTGTGTGAGCCAGGCATGATGTTAGTTATTGGAAGACATCTTGTGGATTTTATGGCTAAGTCGTCAAAGCAGTTATTTAGACTATACAAATAAATATATCATTAGAATTGCATGTTGTGGCAAGAGCTATGAAGGAAAAGAGAGTGTTTCGAGATGGTACAGTAGTCCCTTTTTATCTGAGGGGAATACATTCCAAGACCCCCAGTAGATGCCCAAAACCGTGGATAATACTGAACCCTATATATATATTATGGCTTTTCCTATATATACATACGAATTGTCAACATCACTACTGCTAGCTTTGGGGCCATTAGTAAGTAAAATAAGGGTTACTTGAACACAAGCACTGTGCTGTGATATTGTGACAGTGGCTACTAAACGGCTGGGCAGGAGTGTATACAGCACGGAGATGCTAGACAGGGGTATGATTCACATCCTGGGTGAGAAAGAGCAGGGTGAAGCAGGCCAGCGCAAGAGTTCATTGTGCCACTCGGAACGGTGTGCAATTTAAAACTTATAAACTGTTTATTTCTGGAATTTTCCATTTCATATTTTTGGACCATGGTTGGCCATAGGTCACTGAAACCGAGGAAAGTGATACTGCAGATAAGGCGGGGGCGGGTGGACTCCGGTACTCTCCAGGCACTGGTTAAAATGCAAATTCTGACTGGGCAGGTTTGGGTGGAGCCCAGCAGTCTATTTCTAACCAGATTCCAGGTGATGCTGATGGCCCGGGCCCCACAGAACACACATTAAGTAGCAAGGGTATAAGAGATAATATCCGGGAGGAAGAACTAATTTATTTGGGGGTCAAAGGGGGCCTCTGTCTGCGATTTGACAGCTTTCTGGTTTCCTAACTTCAAAAACAAAGCATCTTAGTGCAGGAAAGAGTCCTGGTGTTTAAACCTTCACACAGAGCCCAGGGCATCCAAGGCAGAAGTGTGACTCTTCCTGTCTTGAAGAGCTGCTGGGACAAGGTCTCCCAGCTCCCCTGGCTGCCCATGGTAGACAAGATCAGAGAATGAGAGCCAGAGGGCAACCCAGACATCTTTCAGTCTATCAGGTTGATTTTACAGAAGAGGAAACCAAGACACCCATGAGTCAGTGGTAGATGCTGGACAGGCTCTCTGGTGCCTCTTCCATGTCCCCAGGAGAAGTGGCTATCTTCATTCAGAAGCCAAGGGTAAGAAAGCGCATTCTTTTCTCCACTCCCCTCCCATTAGCAGTTCTTGCATTTGGAAATAGAAAATCTTTCAAGGTTTTCTGAGGACTGTTTCTGTCCTAGGCACTATGCTAAGTGCTGCCCATCGACTTCTCTTTGGTAGGTACCTCCCAGTCCTAGAATTCTCGCCCAAATCTTGCCTGGGGATCTGGGTTCTGGCTGGGAAGTTGTGGACCATCTTGCACAGTGACTTGGCTTTGAGGCGAAATATGGCTGGACACAGACACAAGCAAATGGACCCTCCCAGGTTGTCATTCTTAACTCCACTGGGTAGCTCAGGAAGCTTCATCACCATGGTTACCGACCAGCTACACTTCCTTCAGTGTATTTGTTCTTTTGGTTCAGACTCTGGGTTTCTGGATGTGGAGGGAGGAACTGTCACATTTAATCTGCTTGTCCCCAGGTACAATGACCGGATCACAATCACCTTCCCTGTCTAGGACTCTGTTTTCTCATTTCTTTTAATCATTGTTATTACAGAGCTAACAATCCTTCCCTCCACTGAGGACATAGATGTTATATATAAAATGTGATTGAGTGCTTAAAAATGGTACCATAGTTTGGCTACTCTCTTGATCCTAATGCCATGTTTAATTTGCCTCAATACCTTGAAAGCCTATCCTTTCACAGAGCAATGCTATGCAGGGATAAATAGCTCTCAAATTTGCTTTGGACAGGAGATGCCCTCTCTGATTGAAAATGGCCCAAAGCAACTAACGCTTGGGCTAGGCCGGGGGATTTCATGTCTCCTTCCTCACTGGTCTCACATTGTCTTATCCGGTGGGCCACAGAGATCTTTGCCAGGAACATGCCTCTTACTTTACAACTAATGTGATTAAACACTTAATGAGGGTGCTCAGTCCTCCTGGGCTAAATGCTTTAGCCCAAGATTTAGTGATTGACTAAGACTTGGAGAAGTGACTTAATGATTATGGAAGGTCTCACAGATGGTAAATAGCAGGGAAAGGATTTAAACTCAGGTGTGTTGACTTGGATGGAAGGCATGCCACGTTGCCTCTCTAGGATGGGTCAGGGTGAAGCTGGGTCAGAAAATCCTCCTGAGACTCTCTGAGAAAAGTGGATGAAGGTCACAGAAAAGTCCCAGGAAGACAGTGATTTTTGTTGGCAGTGTTTGTCTTGGTATGGTTAGTGAAAGTAGAGATTGGAATAGAGTGGCTTAAAGCAGTGCTTCTCCTACTGGTGGGTCTTCTTAAAATGTTGACACTGAATCAGTAGATATGGGATGGGCCCATAGGTTCTGCATTTCTAATGAGTGTCCAGATGATGCTAGGGCTGCGGGGCCACTGACCACACTTGGAATAGCAAGATATTACTCAACAGGCAAACAGAACACCCAAGGTCTTCCTTTACCAAGGAATGGGGGATGGCAATAGGAGGATGAGTGTGGAACTGAGCTCATATATGGGCTTGGAAATCTTCCTAGTCTGCTGATGGAGGTGGCATCCTATCCTCTCCAGTGCTTCCTCTGCCAGTGCTTCTTGCCACCTAGCTCTACTCCTGCTGCTCCCCTGTGCAGTCGGGAGTGACCACTGTTCTGGCTCCGCCATTCCTCTCCTCACACCTGGGCTTGCCTTCCTCTGGGTTGTATGTGCCTCTCCTGGAATGCCCTGTCCCAACTCCACCTGCCACCCTACTTCCAATGGAGATATGCTCTCCATTGAAGAATGCTAGCGAGTAAGTGTGAAACGAATGGTAGAATTAGGCAATCATTATTCTTCTACCCTCGG